CTCAGCGGCTCGTGCGCCGCGGCCGCCGCCTCGGTGGTCAACCCCACGCCGCTGCTGCCCGCCGCCTGCGGGGTGGCCGGCGACAGCCAGCCCTTCAAGCTCTCAGGTAAGATCGGGGGAGGGCGGCAGGTGGGGCGGGGGGGGGTTCCTCTCCGATCGAGAGTTGGGTGTGGGGGGTGGGGTGGATGGATAGATGGATGGATACGGAGGCGCGCCCGGCCTCTGTGCGCCCCGGACCCGCGCGTCCTGGGGATAGCAGAGTCGGTCGGCCCTGGCCCGAGCCACCAGTGGCTGAGCCGCGCCGTGTCCTGTGCAGACTCGGGGGACCCAGATAAGGAGAGTCCGGGCTGTAAGCGACGGCGCACCCGAACCAACTTCACCGGCTGGCAGTTGGAGGAGCTGGAGAAGGCGTTCAACGAGAGCCACTACCCCGATGTGTTCATGCGCGAGGCGCTGGCGCTGCGCCTGGACCTGGTGGAGTCCCGAGTCCAGGTAAACAGCCGCGTCCCGCGCCGGCCGCCCGTGCGCGCGCCTTTGTTCTAGATGCCGGGACGCGGTCCCCGGCGCTGAGCTCGCTGGGGTGCCGGGGCAGGTGGGGGGGACTCGGGGCTGGGCCCCTCCTGAGAATGGGGATGAGTAGCCCGCACAAGCCCAGGTGGCTGGGGAAGGAAAGGGCTGGCAGCAGTCGCTACGTAGCCAGGACAGAGGCTGCGTCCGAGCCGGGAAGCACTAACGTGGGTTCGAACCCCAAAGGGTCGAGAGAGAAGAAATGGGGGAGGGGGGACGTTGGTGCGCGCGAGGATGGTGAGGGCCGGCCCGGAGGGAGCTAGAGAGAGACAAGATCGGCCCGGCCTTCTAGCGCTTGAGGGTGGAAGACTTTTCCCCCCAGCCCAGTCTGGAGCTGGAGAGTCGGTTTGTTTACCTCACCTCTGTGAACTATTCAGAGTCAGATGCAAACATATCTTTATTTATCGCGTTGTCGAAGGGGGCATCGAAGGGAAGGGGAGGCGAAAACTTCAATTGTTAACACATTTCGAAGTGGGGAAGGGCTGGGGGGGAGAGAAAAAGGTGTTTGATTTTTTTCAAGTTCCCAGTTTTATCTTGGCTTTCTTTCTTCCCGTTGCTTGATTTCATCCAGAGACAGAACTTGGGTGTTCGTTGTTTTTTTCTTTTCAAATAGTCAATTTGGTATCTTCAAAAAATCCAAGATGATATATGTATAATTATAATTCCATGAAATATAGAAACCTCATTTTCTTGGCGTCAGTAATGGGTGTGATGGGCTACTGGGGTGACTGGTTTTGAGGCTAACGCTGGTTCAATGCCTGCTTAGTACCAATAGTTTGGCTTTAAAAGGTCTTTTGGTCCCTGCTTGGTCCTCCTCTCTTGGCCTGTTCTCTTCTGAAAACCTTTCATCCAATTTTTTCTAAGTGTCTTTAAGTGAAGTCAAGCCCCCTTCATTTCCATTTTGTGGGGCAGGGCATCCTGGAATTCACACACACACACACACACACACACACACACACACACACACACAGTTTGTTTGTTTTTAAAAAGCAGTGGGAGACTGCCTTCTGACTCTTGGAGGGGTCCTCAAATCAATATTTGGGGACTCTGCACCTACTAGACTCACTAGGATCAGGCCTGGTTTGCTATTGTGCCAAATCTCTATATGGGCACAACAAAGAATTTGAATTATCGCGCTCTCCAGGGGACGGTAGCCCTGCCCTATGGAGGCTCTATGGGTTTGATGCTTGTGTGGTGGTCCGAGGTGCAGCCCGGGTAAAGGGCTGCTGTGCCTATACATCCCCCCATTGCTCCCCAGGATGAGGCCTGCAGGGCGCATAAAAAAAAAGTCAGGGGGCCCAGAACCTCTCCTTGGAGGCGGGTGCCTAGTGACCGGGTGCTTATCTTCCCAGACGGAAAAAGGACTGGTTTGGGAAGGTTCTTGCCGGTCTCTGGTCCTGAGCTCAGAAAAAGGACGCGTGTATCCGTGTTGGGGAGGGAAGTTGCAGAAGGCCCATCCAAATGTGGCCTCCCAGGCCCTTCCTGGCGAAGAAGCATCCAGATTTCCCTTCAAGGGAGACTCGAAATCTGGGCCTTGACATTCTTCAAGGGGCCGAAGACAGGTGTGGAGGGCTGCCGGCCCATCGCAGCGGCTCCGCGGCAGGACTGTGAGCGTCGAGGAGGGCCCCTGACCTCTGCCTCCCGACCAGGAAACTCGCCGGCCGCCCTGGCTCACGGGCCCCACCGGCCCGTGCTTGAGGAAGGGGCCGATCCCAGGGGCTCGAGGTGAGAAGCCATAATGGGAAGCTGGCCGGGAGGCCCCATCTACGCTCCTTCCGGGTGGAAAAGATCCTCGCTGGGAGCTGCCATCCGAGGGTCCAGACCCAGCCCAGGGCTGTCCAGGAGCGTGGCCTGGGCCCAGGTCTCATAGGCCTGTTTTGGGGCATGGGAGGCCCGCAGCCTGATGATACCTTCCTTTCCCCCTGTCCGGCTGCTCTAGGTCTGGTTCCAAAACCGCCGGGCCAAGTGGAGGAAGAAGGAGAACACCAAGAAGGGCCCAGGGCGGCCGGCGCACAATTCGCATCCGACCACGTGCAGCGGGGAGCCTATGGACCCCGAGGAGATCGCGCGCAAGGAACTGGAGAAGATGGAGAAAAAGAAACGCAAGCACGAGAAGAAGCTGCTCAAGAGCCAGAGCCGTCACCTGCACTCTCCCGGCGGCCTGTCCCTGCACAGCGCACCCAGCTCCGA